GTTGTGTGTTTTGAGATTTGGTCGTTAATCGCATCCTCCAAGTTCTGAAGTTGGGCGTTTACTTCCTGCAGACTTTCCATCGTCTCTCGCCTGGCATCCGCTGCGGCGAGTGCCTGACTTCGCGCCTCAGAGCGCCACATCTCCAGCTCCCTTGCCATGGTATCTATGTCGTCAAAGATTGCCTCCAACAGTTTACCAAGTGGATTGGAGGCCTTTGTAAGCAGCTGCAGTTGCTCTCGCAGCTTGCTAAGCTCACTCTCTGCCACCGCCGCGCCGGATTTGCCGCCTTTTGAACTGTGGATAATGATACCGCCGCCAGTGCTCCCGCCTTGAAGGGCACGTGCGTTTGCCTCCTGTGCGCGGCGTGCAGTCTCCTCCTCCTGCTCTCTTTTTGCCTTCAACGCTTGTTGCCCCAAGTAACCCTTCGCCTCCGCTTCGTTTACACCTCCACCGTCACCACTGCCACTTGTTACCGCTTTCGCATTCTGTTGTTCAGCAACTCGCATCCATTCACCTTCATCCTCTGCCTCCTGTGCTTTCCCACCTGGCGTGCGTTTTTTCTCACGAATAACACCAGAGACTGGCACGGCATCCAACTGAGAGCCGTCCACAACTTCATGGGTCGGTTTCGTGCGCGGTGGCGCCTTCCCTGCGGCCGAGGCAGCAGCATTAGGAGTAGGAGCAGTAGACGCAATGCGCTGTTCTACGCGCGGGGCACGTGTGACCGTCGTTAAACTTTCGTCGGCCGTTGGAATTTCTTCCCTCTCGGCAGCTTCCTTCTCGCGACGCCGCCGTTCCTCATGCCGTTTGCGACGTTCCTCATCACCCGTCTTTTGTGTCCTTTCCTCCAAAGTTTCTCCATGCTTCTTTTTGCCTTCTTTTTCTTCATTATGGCTTCCATGGAGCTCACCGCTTTTTTGTCGCTTCCCAGACGCATTGGCCGCCTCCTGTCGTTGTTGCTCTACTTTGGGTGACTCATCCACTGTGAGACTTTCATCTTCCTTCCTCCTCTTCTTTTTCCCTTCTTCCGCTGCTGCGGCGGCCTCTTCTTCACGCCTTTTCTCCTCCTCACGTTTTTTCTCCTCCTCACGTTTTTTCTCCTCTTCACGTCTTCTCTCCTCCTCACGCCTTTTCTCCTCCTCACGTCTTTTCTCCTCCTCACGCCTTTTCTCCTCTTCCTTCCGCTTGCGCCGCTCTTCAGCCTTTTGCTCCCGCTCCACTTCTTTTTCCTTCTCCTTTTCCTTCGACTCCTGCTCGGCCGCCTTTTTATCCGCCGCCGGCTGTTCACCGCCGCCCCCTTTTGCTTTTTGCACCGCCGCGTGCTTCTGCTCGGCCGTGAGCTTAGCGCACGAAGCGAGGAGCTGCAGCAACTCGTTGGTCTTCTCTGCCTCCTGCCCCGCGACGATCTTTGTTGGCTGCGCCGACACCTTCTTCCCCGTCCCCGCCTCCACGGCTGCAATCAACTGCGTCAAAAACTCAATTTTTATTGTCTTCTCCGTCACGTTGCTGCTGTCAAGCAACGCGTCGGGGTAAAGCCCCTTCGGAAACCCCGTTGCGCTAAGGAAGCTTGTCACGATATCATGCAAAAAGCGAAACGGGGGTTTTAAAAGAAGTTTTTCAGTCAGTTTGGGCGAAGAAATGATTGCGCCAAGCTCGGTCTGTGTTTTCTCCACGTACGCCTCGGACATCCTTGCAACACGAAGAATGTAAGGACGTGTATGCCTCTAATGATCTGTCCCCTCCCCCTGCGCTGATAAATAAGCGTCGGCCCGTTTGTGTGTGAGAGTAGGTGAGAGGAAAGTAATAAACCCAGTTCCGCCAATATGCGCCTTAAAAAAGAAACGGTTCTCTTAATTTATTTCTGCTATCGGCGGTATCGCACCCGCAGTCTCCCTCATTAAGAACAAAAAAATAAAAAAAAAAAAAAAGAGAGAGAAGGTTCAAAAGCAGGGCAAGAAGTCCATGACGAGAAAAAGACGAAAAACAAAACAACAGCAACAAGAAAACGTCACAATTTAATTCCAACAGCAAAAAAGCCGTTAATTGCAAGTCTACATACATACACACACAAAAGAAAAAAAATAATAATAATAAATAATCTCAACCTCATCTACAGCACAGCATATTACAAGGCACATTATCCTTCAATAAATCTATCCCCAATTCATCAAAATCTGACGTCAATGTGGAGGGTCCTTCATTGTCACGTTCCTTGCGTAATACATCGATTTATCTTGGCCAATCGCCCGCAGCACCCGCACCCACCGCTCATCGTCCATTTGGTGATGCAATGTATCGTCAAGAAACACCATCCTGGCATTCGTCAGCACAGCCTCCAATGCATTGCGAACCTTCTGAGAGGATTGCAATAACGCAAGACACATTTCACAGGCGGGGGCAACCGCTAAAGGTTCCTGCGGCTGCTTCGACTGGTTTGGCTTCTGAACGATCGCCTTCTGCCGGGAGGAAGTCAAGGCCGTATCGTACGGGGCGCCCGCAGGCCTCCGCCGCTCATTTGCATTGCCCGTGCGTGGAACCGCTTCACGCCCTGGCATCTCAACGTCATTGTGGTGTAACGGTGCGAATAGAAATGCAGGCAATGCACGGATGCAACAAAAAAAAGAAAAAAAAAAAAGAAAAGAAAATAGAGAAAAAGAGTTTGGAGATTTGCGTCGCAGCCCAACGCCAGGCAGCAACAGGCTCAGAGAAACACTAATATGTACCCCCTGCCACAGTGTTCAATGGAACGTCACTTTCACTTTTCAGCGGAAAGGTCAAAATCAGCACCCACCCTCTTTTTGGTGCCCACCGTCTCCTCTTGCCACGCCCCCTCATTCCGTATGCATTTGTTCGGACGACTTGTTGTACGGTCGGAGGCGCTTAAAATGACATTCTATCATTTTCGTAAAAGCCGACTGAAACGCCGCCGCCCACGCCGCTTCATCTGTCGCGTATCGTTCTGTTAAACTTCGCCATTTTTTATTGCGTAACAGGGCTTCCACCTCGCGTCGGTTAAAGACACATTGCCGCTTTTTTTGTTTCTTTCCCACATGTGCATAAACACAGACGAAGTCCTTTGGGAGGCGTTGGATGACCTTGTTTTCCTCTGTCCGAGGCACTTCCAGCTCAAAGAATCGCCTTTCATTCGCCAACAGAAATTTGTAATAGTCGTTGCTGAGTTTGTACTGACTACCAATGTGTGACACGCCGTCGATGCCGCTTACGTGCTCGTGGAATTCCCCGACGCCGTGGCACGCCATGAGGGCAACGCTCTCCTCATCTGTGAGGCCACCGAGCCCCTCAAGAATGGTCGGCAGCGCAATAAGGCCGGAGTCAGCCTCGGCAAGTTGCTTTTTCCGCGGGAGTGTGGTGTCCGTGTCATTTCGCCCCCACCGCCAGTTGCTTTCAATGACGTCACAGGGCCCCTTTAAAAACTTTACGGCAGCCACCGCCAAAAGAGACGCGGCGTCTTCCGTCGAAAGACCGTGCACAGTTGAAAGATGGCGCAGCACACCAGCAATGTCCTCTAGGCCACTGACAACAGCGCAAGACTCATCAATGTTGTCTGTAGCAAACCCCGCGCGGCGGGCGGCAAGGATGAAGGCAACGCGGATGCTTGTGGCCGCCAAATCAGGACGAAACTCAAACGTTTTGGCAATGTCTGCAAGCACAGATTCCTTCAAAAAAGGCGGGCGCAGTGTATTATCGTCCACGTCAACAACCTGGCCGGCGGCAAGCCCCCCCGCAAGACAGCCGACGCACATCATAAGAAGCCACTTATGATTCAAGTGCTCCCATGACTTGTATGGATTTGCCTCTCGCTGCTGTGAACCCCCCGTGCTGCTGCCAACGCTCGCCGGGGATCTAAAGCGATTTCCCTTCGTTTCTCCTGCATGTGCCGACGATGTTGATGCTGACGCGCAGAAAGAAGTGCAGCAGCTGAATAAAGCGTACGACTTGCGCAGAGATCTCCACATCGAGCAATTTTCAGCTATTGGTGTGTTTCAAACTCTGGATGTTCCTTTGATTCCTCGCTTCCTGCACCCACGGAGCCGCGTCCACTGCAATAAAAAGAAAAAAAAACAACAACAACGAGAGAAGGAGAAGGCAATTGTAAGCCGTAGGGCTTTTCCACCTCCCACCGAAGAGGAGGCCCTGTCACGTCGCAGAAGAGGAAAAAAATCCCAAAAATAAATACACACATGAAAACAAAAAAACAAACACACACACACAGGCAAATACACAAAAACAGCAGCAAAAACGGTCATTCATCATCGCCCTTGAGAAATGTGTCAATGAAATGGTAGCATGTATCAAGAATTTCATTCAGTGGTTCATCGTCCTCCTTCTTGGACGACACTTTCATTAGCTCCTCAATCTGAGAAGAAAAGTTCCGCACCACGCCAAGGCAACACTTCCGAACCAAATCGCGCATCTTACAGTCCTCCAATTTCTCGAGCAGTGTCGCCCAGGCCTCCAGAAGGTCGGAAGAAGATGTGCTAAGAATGTCAAAGATACGGCCCATGACAGGGGGAATCTCCAACATGCCGCTTTCAATTGCCACATTTTCGCATTCAAGCTGAACACGGAGAAGGACCAAAAGAAAGTCAAGCGCACTGCGAATGGTATTACCCACTTCCCGCAATGCGGGCAGAGAAAATCTTGGTGTTTCCGCAGCCTGATTCAGTTGACTTTGAATATGCTTTGCAGCGCTGTGAATGCGGTCAACTGTAATAAAAAGAAGAGATTCCACCTGCCGCGACCCTGGGCACTTTGCAAAGACTTCAATCAACTGCACGCAGGCCCAAAAGAAAGTGGCATAATTGGAATCCGCGGTCAACGAGTGCAAAAACAAAAGAATCGGCTTCATGCCCAGCCAGCCAAAAATGCCACTCTCCCCCTTTTCCAAACAAGCCTTCTCATATCTGTTCACCGTGGCTATAACCTGCTCATGTTTTTCAATGCCCATACCCAAAATTGTTAACTGTACGTGAACAGCCTCCTGAGCAGCCACCAAATTGCGTAGGAAACGCTCCTCGCGTCGTTTCGCCTGCCGTGGAGGAAGACCCTCTGTCATTAGGGGCTCCTGTACGACAATCAAAAGCCGTCGCGTCAGTGTGCGGGCCAAAACAGTACCATCCTGCTGAATCAATAGAGACAAAAAGGCACGTATAAACTTCTCTCCCTCCACGTAATTTTCCCTCAGCAGCATCCTGGCAATGCCACACGCAGTATCCGTGTCTACAAGTTCAAGATTACCGGCGTTGGCGGCAAAAAATTGCACACCAGCGATAACGGCTTCGGGATTGCCTGTGTAAAGAACACGTTGCAGTAATAGGTTTAACCGCAATGCCTCAAGTTTCTTCACATCCTCAGGATTGGGCTTCATAAGGTCACGAACCTTTCGCAATGGCAGTGTCATACAAAGTCTTTCACTCGAACGGGTCAGGAGTTCGTCAAATACCTCAAGGGCCTGTGTATGGGATGTCTCCTCAAGAGCAAAAAGACGTCCCACCTTCTCCTCAATCATCTCCTTGTAGTCAAACTTGGGAACCAGCATGACATCCGTAAGGGCCACGAGTGCCATTGCCACCGCTGTGTCTTTGCGCGTGAAGCGTTCCATAGCACAGTCGGTAATAATTTCATACGCCTCTCGCAGTCGCCTCGCGTAGAGGAGTCCCACTCCTCGGCTTTCGCGTTCCCGTAAATGCGGCTTTTCCTCGCCAACCTGCTGCGGTTTGGCACGACTGCTCGGCCACGACGCCAAAGCCGAGAGCGCCGGAAGCGCAATGCCAGTCAAGGTCAACTCCCCGCCACTTGTCACACCAAAAAGACGTTGTTCAACGGAGGACAAAGTAGCAGCAAGATCAACAACAGGGTACTTGTATTGTGCACGTCCCACGCAGTAAGTTGGAGGAAACCGCAGGTTCCACATTGCAACAGTACCATCAATACCGCCCGTCGCAAGAAGATCAGAGTGGAGTCTTAGCCATCTCAAAGAAGCAACATCACCCTGAAGTGAAGAAATTGTGCGCACAGCGTGTTCTGGAAATCTACAATCAAATACTGAGATGGTTCCATCGGATGAGGCTGCCGCCACAACAAACGGCAGCAATGTGTTAAAGTCTGCACATCGAGCCATGTACCCACGGCGCATTGGCAGCGTTAAACCGTGTCCCCTGGTGTTATCCGCTCGTGTGTCTGTAAGTATAAGACTCCCTTCGTAACCACCTGTGAGAACTATTGAATCGCAGTGTGGAGCCCAATTAGCAAAAAGAAGAACTTCATGTTGACCGTTGTTTTTCACCTCCGTGCTCACCCCGGGGGTCCATGCACGTACGGGATGGAAATCCCCCTCCAGATCCCACACCATAGCGCGGCTTTCAACCACTCCTACAACACTCGATGGGTTCACCTCTGCGTTGCACCGCACGCTACGTACAAGTGTTGAAACCGCATGGCTACTTGGGGCAACAATGATGTCCCCAACCATCGGTTGTGTATCACCCGACGCTAAACATCTACTGGGATCAAGTGCTTCACCGCTTTCAGTTACACTATATGGCCCTGCCTTTACAAGAAGGATGCGACCTCGTGTGCTGCCCAGCAGGAGATGGTCATCACACCAATCAATGCTACTCACACAAACATCTTGCGGCAAGTCCAACCACCGTATATGCGTGGCCCCTTGAAGCGTCGGCTCTGGCCCTTCAACAGACATTAGTCCAACGCTCCCTCCTCCACCTAAAGGATTCATACCCAATGCCAATGCGCTCTCACTGTTGTGTAGCGACAATCGCGCGGTGCTAAAGATTGTACCAGGAGCCGCAAGAAGACCACTGTCAGCTATAACGCTTGGGTGATTGCGAAGAAGACCCTGCAACTGCGCCTTTGTCCGCCATGCGGAAGTTGACGCATAAAAAGGCACCCTAATGATGCTTTCATCCATTTGGCCAAAAAACTGTCAACATTTAAAAACAACAGCAAAAACAAGAATGGAGCAGGAGGGGAAAGGCTAACAGCGCTTATACCCCCACTTTCTCGCCCAAAAGGAATCAAAAAAAAAAAAAAAAAAAAAAAAAAAAAAAAAAACAGAAAACACATCCCCGTATTTGTATATGTATATATACCAAACTCTCCAGGGTCTCTTGATGAAATTGTACACCAAAAAAATAATGAAAAAAGTCCCCGCCCCATCACCACCACCCCAATGGGCGGGATATCAGCTGAGGATTCGCAAACACAATGCCTCCGTTTCTAGACGATCGCGTCGCAATACCTCCAACTCATCTAATGTTTTTTGGACAACGATAACAAATGACTCCTTCAGAGCAGAAAGCTGCGCGTCCGCCCCATCACGTTCCTTCTGCAGTTCAGCTTGGATCCTTTCCACTGCTGCCGCAATGGATGATGGGGTCCCTGAAGCAGACGACTCTTCTAGCTGCTGACGAATCACATCTTGTGTCCGTCGCATTTCCTCCAAGCGAGACATGAGACATTCATCCTCGTCACGGTTGTCAGCACAACAATCAGGTTCATCTCCAAGACCTCGGATTATTTTTGTGATTCGTGCCTCAGGACGGCCAGGAGTATCCTCAGCCATGTTCTTGCTGTCTGCAAGCAATTGTCGCAGCAGTCTTAGATTTTCCTCCATATCTGACCAAAACTGCGCAGCATAATTCTGCAACTGTTCCATTTCTGTGTGTGCCTTGTCCATGGCGATCACCAAATCCCCGCGCTTCTTCGCGCCGTTCTCTTGGTAGAGTCTTAAACGTGAATCCAATTGTTGTAGCATGCAATCATTCGCATCCCACTTCTCTTGAGACATCAAAAACGCGTCACGCACCGATGAAAGAGGAGATGAAAATACAGAAACTTCACCAGACTCCGACACGGGGATGCCGCGTTGTCCAAAGTGGCAGGGGACAGAAATGGCTGTGTGTGGATCAAACGACCGCATGTGTTGAAGTTGGGCACGAAGAAGTTCAAGGCTCGGCGCCGTCTTCTCATGGATTCTGTCAAAAGAAGACATGCACCCGCTGCGCTTCCTTCTCGGAATTCTCCTCTTTTTTTTTTTTTCCGTCTCATTGAGGGGGGGCGAAAGGAACACGCGTCCCCCGGCGGACGCAAAGAGACAACAACAAAAGAAAAAAAAGAAAAGGGGAAATGAAAGAGTACAGGCAGCAACACCATTGCCACCGAGCTGTCAGAGGCCTTGTCGCAGGTTCCATTTGGCCACTCTTCCCCTTCGGCGCTACCAAGCAGGAAATGAAGAGGATTCCAAGTGAATGAAGCACGAAAGATTCAGAAGGAGCACAACAACAACAAAACACACACAAAAAAAAAAAGAAAAAAAAAACACAGAGGGAGAAGAGATAAACACCAATATATTTTTCAATCATGTTTCTCCAGGCAGGCAAACGCACACAGATGCAGGGAAAAAAAAATTGCAGCGGAGGCTTCACAAGAGGGCAAAATGGGCACAAAACAAACCAAAATATATAAAAAAATAACCAGCAAACACACACACAAAAAAAAAGGAAAAAAAAGTCCATTGAAGAAAGACGGCAAAGAGAAGCAGGACGTTTCGTGAAGACTGGCAGCACACATGCCCCACAGTGGCAGCAAACCAAAACACAACTAAAAGTAGTGTCGATTTTATTTTTTTTACTTGTGTGGGTGTATTTGTGTTTGGCTGTGTGCATCCCAGAATTTTATTTCACTGCCTCTCGTATTTTATTCCAATTGTGTCTAATTTCCTTTTCTTTTCTTTTTCTTCCCCTCCTCCTCGTCCTTCCCTTTTTCCGTTCCCCGTGTGATTGCGCTTGGATCCTGCTCCCTTGACACCCTTTCCTCCCCGAAGTGTCACGGCAAAATCAAAAAAACAAACAAACAAAAACAAAAAAAATTGCAAAAAAAAAAAAAGACGCTTTGTTTCCTCTTTCCTTTTCTTCTTTCTTTTTTTGCCTCAGCGGATCCGCCTCATGTTTCTGTAACCGAGAGCCCCATCGATGAGTTCCTGGAGGGCTCTCATTGCCATCAGCTTCAGATGCGTGACGTAGAAGAGAAATGACGCGGTGGCAACGGGAAGGAGACTGAGTCCACGGAACTCCTTCCACATCAGCGAAAGCGGAAAAAGCAAAACAAGGAAAAGGCATCCACACGTGATAAAATCCTTCGCACGTCGTGTAAGAAAGAAATCTAACATAAAAAGCAGGGTCAGCACGACAAGACTAGTAAGCACGGGTATAATGGCAAGCAATACATACATGCGGCCACCGTGCTCCACATATTGGAATATGCAGAATATGGTCCCTGCAAAAAACGCAGGATAGACATACGGAACATTTGATAATAAAAACGTCATAATTGCCATGGGTCTAAATCCAGTTCGTTGCTCATGAATATGTTGTTTAACCTCTGGTGCAACATATGACAATAAAACATACAATTGCCACATACAAAGTGAAACCATGGGGGTGATACCACACAGCAGCCATGGAAACCGCTCTTCACGGGCAAAATTGATTTGTACAAGGAGTGTCGGAAACGCAATGCATGCAATGCCAACAATTATGCCGGTGGCAGAGCGAATAATAAGCGGTTTGTTTTTGCGTAACCTATAAAAAAGGGGCTTAGGCTCAAAGTGCGTCTCCATCACGACATTTGCAATAACTATGGTAACAATAGAAAGATACGTCATCCACAAAAGGGAAAACGCCATGCTTGGTGAGCATAAAGCGCCTAAAGCAACCCCCTCTGCTGAGCACACAGTAGTACCAAGAAATAATGAAAAAGACAAGAGTGCCCAAGAAAGAAACATCTGCAGTACAAAGACACGCCGTCGTTGCACATATTCATAATAGCTACGACTTTGTAGATAGTGCCTCACTTCTTCCATGGCTTTTCGCAACGTTCTGTTGGTTGGTGCGATGAGAGGCTCCATTGTGTCGTGCTGCGTGATGAATTGCTCCGGGGCCCCCAATCGCCGCATTTTGTTCAGCAACCGCACGTCCGACTGATCCAAAGGCGCACTGTGTAGACGCTGCACGAGCGGGTAAGCCACAAATATTCGTTTCGAGACAAACTCCCATATGACAGCATGTTGGCAGGCACAATTCCATCGCCAACAAACACTTGAAAGAACGCCGATCCACGCAAAATTATAGTTGTCATTTTCAATTACCTCCATAAATAGGCGATGCAAAATTTCAATTGGAAGGCAATTCACATACGGCGCTACGCGAAGAAGCGCTACCCGCTTCTCCAACTCCGTGTCTCCACTAAACCCACCACGAGAAAAAATCGACCCTAAAGAAGACGCTAATGATGAACTGAGACTCATTTTTTTCTTTTCTTTTAAGAGATGCACACGCACACACAAACCTTTTTGTGTAAACTACAGAGAAGGACTCCTCTTGCTGTATACTTATATATGTGTATATATCGGGAAGCAACTAAATGCAACCACAATCTGCTCCAAAAAAAAAAAAAAAAAAAAAGAAGAGAAAAAAGAAAAACGCCCAAGGAAGGAGACATACAAAGCAAATATAATAACGTCCCGATTTATTTCTTTCCCCCCCCTTTATTTCTTTTTCTTCTTCTTGTTCTTTGCTTGCCTTTTCTTGAAAGTCAACGTACATGTGAGATAACGCCCTCGCACACACTACAACCGACTGGAGAGGTGTCCGAGAAAATTCTCACGGCCAGAGAAGTACCGCTGTGCCTAAGAGACCTGCGTGCGTCCACAACTTCCTGCTGCGTACCGCAGTTCGGGCATTCCCACGTTCTCGTCGTCGGTGTCTGCGTAGGTGGCAACGGCGTATCCTGCGTAACGGGGGCACTATCAGTGGCGGAGACAACATCAGAGCCTTTCCGCTGTCGACGTGCCTCTACTTTCCGCTGCACCAACTCCCGCCATCCTCCCGGCGTTATATTGTGGGATGCCAGTGCCTCGTGCACATCCGTGACGCTGGCACCCTCAATTGTGGAGGCGATCATCTCCGCCAAAGTGTCTATCATCTCCCGCTTCTCAGATGCCGACAGGAACGCTGAGTCGCCGGCATTTGCCTCTATGACCACTTCCATTCGCCCTCAGAAAAGAAACAAAAGGGAATATGGGCAGGGCAAAGGCAAACTGACAAAAGAAAAAAGGAGGGAATGCGTGGGCCCCAAGAAATACCGACACGCCCCGAGAGCAGAAGAAACAAAAGCGCAAAAGAATTGACACGGAGGCAATGCAAAGAATACTAAACAATGAAAATCCCCATGTATTATTTACTTTTTTTTTTTTTAATTGTCTTTTTTGTTGTTTATATATATATATAAATATATATATATATATGGAAAGAGAGAAAAAAAAAAAAAAAGGGTGTTGGTAAAGATAAAATCTCACTGCCAAAAATAACAACACCCCCCGTTCTTCTCTCCAATTTCAGTACATAAATTCCCCCTTCACATTTCATCTAGCGCCGTGTTCAATTTGTGCTGTTTTGCTTTCCTCGTCGTCCTCCGTTTCGTCTGGTGTGCGCTCAGTCACTCTCCCTCTCGCACCCGCAGGCACAACACATGCATGCCTCCTTTTTTTTTCTTTTTATCTGCACCCGCCGCCAGGGACAAAAAAACACACCTGGAAGACGAAGACAAACTAAAAAAAAAAAAAGTGCCGGTGAAGTTCTTTTCAATTATTTCCCCCTCCCCCTCCCACGACACTTCCATTTATCGCTCCGGTGCGACTGCGTGTTGTTGCTGTTGCCTGACGGTCCCGTTTCTCAGTCTGCAGCTCCAAACAGATGCGCCAGAGAGCTGCGGATCGGGTGGTGGTGGAAAAAACACACGAAGAAATGAAACAAAAACAAAAACAACAACAACTAAGCGGTCAGCGAAAAGGGTAAAAAAAAAGGTACAAAATACAAAACAGTGACCTGACGCGATGGACCAACAAAAAGAAAAGGTGACACTCCCTCCTCCTCTCTTCCTCTCTTCCTCTCTTCCTCTCTTCCTCTCTCTCTCTCTGTGTGTGTGTGTGTGTCCAATGATGATGATGATGATCGCAATCGTCATTGCAACCATTAATATATCACCATTCGTGAAGATTTGCGGCAAACGAGACCTTTGAGAAGCAAAAACATAAAAATCCGTTTATTTCGCCAAGCGTCTTCTTCCTTCTTCTCCTTTTTGATCTGCTCCATTTTTTTTTCCTTTTTTCTTTTTCTTTCTCTTGTCGTCTTTGAACCCTCGCTTTGTTGCGCTTAAATTACCAAATTTTGAACTGCGGTGCAGCGTGTGTGTTCAGCAAAGGGGTAGCATCACATGGTTGAGCAGCAATTGCTGTCGCTGCCGCCAGTTTCTTTTCTTTTGCCCGGCGCTGCCTTGTCACCCCCCTTCTCGCGTCTCGTTGTGGTGTTGTTCCTTTGAAACACCAAATGCATCAACACGGACCTTGGCTCATCACCGTTTTTGGCGCCCGCTCCTACATTTACACTACATTCCTGCGCTTCGGTAGAACTGAGAACACTCCGCAGCGGGGTGCCGTCCGCGAGGAGTTTTCCCGTTCGCAGAATCTTCATTTCTACGGTTTTGATGATTTCCTGCATCTCCGACAAGTCACTCGGCCATTCCCTCCGTATCTGACGCTTTAGGTCTGTCGTCGTCGTCGAGGAGCCATTCTCCTGAATTAGTGGCACCTCCAGCTGCAGCTGGCGTCCCGAGTACGCGGGGTAGCATGCACCGCTGAGGACAAACCGCACAAGAACAGCCCCCTCACCACTCATAGCTTCGCTTACCCCAGCAGCCTAAAAAGAAGTATGTATATAAAAATAAACCTATAAAGGCAACGAAAACACACGGAGTGAGCACAGGACTCTGGCAAGAAACAAAAGGAACAGAATAGAAAGAAAAAAAAATAAATGTATGCTTCAAAATCAGTCTTCACTCATCCGTCAAAAAAAAAAAAAAAAGGAATTGCACAGGCAAAGTGAAAAGAGAGAAAGAGAGAAAAAGACGTATCCCTCTCAAAACATAAATGTCGTCACACCGCAGATAACAATTGCCAACAAAAAACATAAAAACCAAACAAACAAAAAAATGCCACTAAAAGGCAGTTTCACACACTTCCTTGTTGAGATTTGGAGGAGGGGCGTCCTCGAAAGAAACACCACGACGACGCGCCGGGCCATTGTAGTCAAATGGAAACATGCCGTTGTACTTTGCCCACGGCTGGCGACGGGCCTTTGAATAAACGGTACCCACCAGCTCTCTGCCACTATTGACACGATTCCGAGCCTGTTCTTCTATCATTTGCTTTCGACTAATGAACTTCGGCTCAGTGCGGTGCCATCCCCAAAGTGCCCACATATCGCGAGGCATTGGTTTTGCGCCCTCCTCATTCACCGAGAGATAACCTGTCTTTGCTGTGAAGGAGCCTAACCGCTCCAGTTGATCCATCCACATCTTAAATTCAGTGTCAAGCCGCATCACAGCATCCAATGCACCCGATTTCACGCCCTCCTTAAAATATGCTTCCGCCTTTTCATGGGGTGCGCCGGACAATCGCACCGCCAGCATCATGTTGACGTATGTCTGTGCGTTTGGCTCAAGTCCAATGGTTCGCATTTCTCCTAGCAGCTGTTCACAGCGTGAAAGATCTTTGGCGAAAGCACAGGCCTGCATCACCGCATTGTAAATGTAGTGGTCCGATCCAAACCGTTTAATGTGATGCCGAAATATGTCGTTGACGCGCTCCATGTATTTTTTTGGGTCATGTTCTATTTTTGGCATCAAATGAATGACAACCTTCTCATTGTGGAGTCTTGTCCAAAAGGCCTCGTCACGGTTCTTAACGTAAAGCCGGAACATCGCTTCTGGTGTCAACTCGAAGTTGTCACCGGCGTTGTAAAATCCAATTTCCTTCGGCCACTTCGTGTACCCCAACAAGTTGAACTGAAGCTCATGCCACGAGTTCGGATGACGTCGTGGAAATGCAAGACTCAAAGGTACAAATTGATTGAGGACATGCTCTGATATCTTTGGACGCCACGCGAGATTCTTCCCACCACGCCTTGTGCGTCCCGGTGTGTGCGTCCATCCCTTCTTGAAGAAGAGCCTGCTACCGTGCAGCATTCAAAAAAAAAAAAAAAAGAGACGACGCGGCCGTGGGTGTCACCTCCCTCGTTCTCTCTTTTTTCTTCTTCTCCTCCACAGACGCACAAAACATACAGAAAGAAGAAAAGAGAAAGAGAAAGGAATAGAAATACCGGGAAGCAAACTAACAAACCAAAAAGTTAATCCAAAAGAAAAAGAAAAAGTAATTCCTGTTGAGTTTGCTGCGGGCCAGCCGACACAAACGGGGTTTAAATCAACTCTGCCCCCATTCACCCTTCTTCCGGCAAATTTCCGGAACACACAAACAAGAGCGTAGCATTTACATATATGTATATATACACTTGGTAGATGGCTTTCGCATTGCAAGCAGCGAGAACTTCAAAGGGTGGATGGAAGAGAAGCTAATGGCTGTGTAAATTCAACTAAATGGAGAGGCTAAGGCGATCTCCAAAATTGTTCAGGAGGGACAATTTCTCAAATTCTTCAAATGTAATGTACCCGTCACGGTTCAGGTCCACTTCAATAAATGTTTTGTCCACGATCTGCTGCAGCTGAACCCCCGTGAGATTGGTTCCCACCATGATCGTCAGCGTCTCAAACAGGTCCTTGTTGCTGATCTTGCCGTCGCCATCAACATCGTACATCTTGAAGGTAAATCGCAGTCTTTCCCGCTTGTCAGCCTGCGGGGAAAAAACGGCAAGGGCCTTTGCAAACGTCATAAAGTCAATTTTTCCATCCCCACTTGTATCCAACACCGCCAGTACACGCCCGAGGAGAGGGTTTGAGGCCACTGAGGAGATGGAGCTGAGCGCCTCCGCTGTCAGGACTCCCCGTCCCCCCTGAGCGAGCGTCGCAAACCGCTTTTGAAGTCGAACAATTTGTGCCTCGGAAAATGCGGTCGCTTCTCGCAACTGCCGCATCTCCTCCGGCGTGAAGGAAGACCCCTCGCCCATGATGCGAGCACGAGCAACTACCACAACAACTACTAACAGTAATGATAGCACTTATTGTTATTATTGGTACTGCACAACGGAAAGAGAAACTACTTCTGCGGTTCCTGCTTGCGACTGTATGACTCCCCTCCCCTTTATGGTGTATACTACCAAATTTATTGGCCCGCCAATACGGGGAAACCAAAAATCAACCGTGAAAAGAGCAAAAGCAAGAAAAAGTAGGCAGGCACCCTGAGAGAGTTGTCAAAATATGTAATCATGATTTTCTTTTACTCGCCTTTACATCCCCATTTGAGTCTCTCCCTCTTCAGTAAGGAGAAGGAAATGGGTAACCTTTGAATATTACTCTATTTATTGGACATCAGTGATCATACATAAAATCATACAAACAATGAATGTGGTCTCAAGACGACGGGGAATTTAGGTGTCTTCCATCCATGTCAATAGATTCCATAGCGACATACAACGTGTTGAGGGCACAAAAAACGGCGCGAGTTGCCGCTGGTGTTAGTAACCGTGCACCGTCCACGATGCGTAGATCCACACCATTCGTCAACTCGAGTGCGGCGGCCATTTTTTCCCACTCCCCTCGCAAGTTTCCAAACAAGTGCAGCTCCGCCCATGCGAGAAGAACTTTGGACGTCAACGTTGCTGCAGAAATCACGCCTGTGCCGTCGGGATCAAACGCACTAAAAAGTGCATTTACATTGCGGTCCAACGCGGGGTGGAAGGCGTTTTCGACAAGAAATGAAAAGAAAGAAGATAAAAGTAAAGAATCCTCTTCCTCACTGGGAAGCAGAACAATAAACATGCGGTGCAAATAATCTTCACTCACCATATTGGGCACTAGCTGCGTACAAACATCGTACAGTTCCTCAAAACTCAAGCGCAAGGCCCCAACGCTACAGTTCTCTTCCTTTCGCGCCTGCCATTCTGCATCCTTTCTCTGAATAAGAGCGTCACAGATCTGATACAAGGGTAAACCACACAAAAGGCCAATGATGGGGTTGACTTGTAGGGAAGTAGGCAAAAATAGTGAATACCGCGATTTACTTCCAAAATGCCTCGTCTCAAAAAGATCCAATTCCTTCATAATTTTGGTGGATTCACACAATGAGCCATCTTCATTCTTCGAAGTAGGGACCGATGCGCACATGGCCCTCTTCAGAAAATATTCCACAGAGTTTTGCAATTGCTTCGCCTCTTTCATTGGGGCAGCGCTTTTCAAAATGGATTTTTTTTGCCAGTTGCCCGTACTCACTTGCAAAACATAACGCGGTGGCGGTGGCTGCTGGACAAACATCGTCGCGGCCCAATATATAAATGTATTTTAACACTGGAAACTGACTGCCGGTGTGGCTGGGAGTGGGAATTGAGGTTCCTTTCTGATGTCTCTCGCTTCTTCCTTCGTTGGCAATAATGTTTCCTCCACACCACCACCACCACCACCACCACAGCCGCCGCCGCCGCTTTTTATCCCCTTCGCTCGGGAACCCTAACAATCCCATGAGCGTTAGTCGCGCATTAAAAAAAAAAGGGGAAAAAAAGAAGACAAAGAGACAAACCAACGGCATGTGGCAGCGGCTGCCACACATCCCCAATAAGACATACACACAGAAGTATGGGAGAGGGACGCCACAACAAAATAACGGTCTACAAATGAGGGCAAACACTCCGTCCACACTTTCCACTCCGAAAAAAAAAAATACACGTGGTAAAAAGCAACATCAACAACAACAGTGGTACAACTTGTGCATGCTGCTGGGTCCAATGGAGAGCTGCGTCCACATATGCCCAAAAGGAATACACGCATGAGCCGCTTTTTTTTTTTTAATTTTGTCTTCTTCTCTTTCCCTCCCTCCCCCCCCACCCCCTCCTTTTTTTTTTTTCTTCACGTTCTACCAAAAACAAGGGAGAAATAAAATACACAAACTCAGCCTAAAGCAGATTTTTTAAAAAATCAATAAGAAAAAAAATATATTTATTTATTTATTTATATCAAATAAAAAAAAAAAGAAAAACTAGTGCAGAGAAGATGGTCCCCCCTCTTTTCCCACCATATCCATCTACAGCTATCCTTCCTGACCGTCACTCTTATTCCCTTTTCACTCCCTTCTTTTTTTACACACACATCCCCTCTTTCTCGCTCTCTGTACCGATCCATTGATTATTTTTGCCTCAATTCCTCCTCGTTTCTCTTTTTTTTTTTTTTTTTCAAAGAGAGGGGGAGGGAAGAAAATAAAAAAAAAAAATACCCTCCCCTCCCTTTCCCTTTTTTCCATCCTTCATTGCTGCCGACCACTATAATTTGTCTTTAATCATGTATTCAGAGAGAAGAAGCAAGGAATGGAACCGAACACCACTTTTTTCTTTTTCTTTTCTTCTACCGCGTCACAGTCTCCGCTTCACAAAACGTTTTATGAAATTTGCACGCAAACGCACCCTTCTCTCAATCCCACCCGTTTTCTGGCTGCCCGCGTTCCCACCGTTCCGGCCACCATGGCAGAAAAAAAGACAAAAACCAAAGGAGACGTCCCGAGTCATGCCTCCAAGTGAGGGAAGGGGACGAAAAAGGAGACAGCACCAGTCGTCGGTGAACGACGTAACGGAGGAAATAATAACAACAAAAACACACACAAACAAATAAATTCGAATATTTAAAAGAAAAACAAAAAAAAGTAATACAAAAAAAAAAAAAAAAAGGCAAACAATGGCCGACAAATATAAAAAAGAAGAGAAAAAAAAAAATAGAGCAAAAACAAAAAAAGAACATGAGACTGAGTGGCCAGAAGGAAATAGAAAGACAGGCCCTACTTCTCTATGCTGTGGGCTGCGCATCCTGAAATTCCACCTCCGCCGTTACAGAACCAACTGGAGGTTCGTCATTGTCAAGCAGTTTTTTCTTCAAGGGAGGCGGGGAGCTGCACGCGCTTCCGTAGTCCTCCTGCAGGAAGGGATGCTGCAGCAGCTCAGCCGCAGTAGGACGTTGGTGGTGATCAATTGTGAGACATGCCCGAACAAAATCAATGTATAAAGGATCATCGTACCCAAAAATTGCTTCTAACGAATTTTGTGGAACGGGGAAATGAAACACAAGTTCTTTCCCTTCCCGGTATTCGTAAAAGACACCGGTTTTTGTTACGAAATGTTGTGTGTTACGTCCTTCGTGAAGCAATGAAGCCGGTAAGGGACCGCACACGCTACAGATGGACGCTAGCATTTGCTGCAAGGAGGTATTCTCAAACAGAACGCGGCCTGTCGCTAGTTCAGCCAGAATGGCGCCCAATGACCAAATATCAACACGACCGTCGTACTTGCAACCAATAATCACCTCGGGAGCACGATAGCAACGGGACTGCACGTACGAGCTGAGGTTGTCCGTCAGGTAGCAACTACTCCCAAAGTCAATAATTTTTACCTCACACCTGCTAAATGAGTGAATGAGAATATTCTCTGGTTTGAGATCGCAATGTAATATCCCAAGATTTTGCAAAAAACACAGACCCGTGAGAATCTGTTTTGCTATCGCCTGTAATCGAGGGAGAGTGAAATAAAATTCTGTTTCCTCCTCCCTATTAAACTTGCTAAACTGATACAAGTTATCACGAAGCAACTCTGTCACAATAAACATGTGCTCCTTATAATAGAAATAGTCGTACAATTTTACCACGCAGTTCTCCTCCGCGCTTCCAGAGGAATCAATTAACTTAAGCAACTTGATCTCATCCAAGCTTTGATCAAAGAAGTCCTTGGAGTTGCGTATTATTTTTAGGCAGACTTCTCTGTCTTCTATTAAATCCATGCAGCGCACTGCCCGAGAGAATGCAGCGGAGTCAAGAAATTGTAGCATCTGATATCTCCCCGCAACTACCGTATCCGCAAGAATGGGAAAATCCTTTTCCTCCTCAAAGCCCGTCTTCCCCACTTCATACACCACGCGAAGATGAAAAGAATCCAGTGGCAAATTTGAAGGTGCTGCCTCCTTAAAGTACGGCTTTGTTGGCACAAGCCGCGCCTCCTCAGTCGGTTGGAGCTCCCTGTATTTTTCTAAAGTTATACCCGCTCCGCCCGCAAACTCTGGCGCAAGATAATCTTCACCAGACAGTTTCCACAGCTCTTCTTCCACACCGGTGGAGGTTACCACACGATGCATCGTCTGCAGGATTTGAAAATTAGAAACAGCACAGGATGAACTCTTACGGGAGCGTGAAGAAGCAGAAGACCGACTCACTTTTTGGCCTTTCTTTCCTCCGTGAGACTTTGCCGAGTCCTGTTGCTTCACCAAGAGCTGCCACTGCTCCACGAATAAATTCAGGCAATGGGACAGACCCAAGTGACGAAGGAATGCGCTGAACTCCTTGGCCTTTGCGTGGTCCTCAGGGGACAACACGGGTGGCATTTTCGTTAATCTATTACGTACCCTGTCTTTATTTTTATCTTTGTTCCTTGTTTCTTTCCTTTTTCCTTCTCGTGTGGGGTTTTTTATCCAATTTCTCGCTCCCCCTTCAGCCACCACCCGCAGCGAAGGAACAAAACTGTTTTTTAGGAGGGGCGTTGTTTCTCGATTCCCTACGGGCCACCACACACACAGAGATAGAAATGAGAAGCAGACATTCACTACTCGGCTCTCCATATTAACAATGGAGGACAGCAATATACAAGTAGGACAACAACAGAAATGCGTGCGTGTCCGTGTTTTCGCCAGAAAAAACACGCCAATAACATTGCCTCCCTCCCTCTCTATCTCTCACCTTTCTGGATTTGGCGTGCCGCCACGTCTTGCTCCCCCTCCCATTTTCTATACCCTGGACTTTCCTTTGTTGCCACCGGGAACACATGTGGGTGCAAAAGCATTTGGGGTCGTCTTGGCAATAATGATTTTTTTCCCCCTTCAGTCGCTGCCGCAGTTCTTTCTTTTTTTTGATACTTTTTTTCTGTTTTCACCGAATCGTCACCGCATCGCAGCCCCGCCCCATCCTTTTTTTTTTTTGTGTGTGTGTGTTGTTGGAGAGTGGGGGAAAGAGACGGACAAGTGAAACCGCGCCTCATCTCCCACACACCGCCTTCGGCCTGCACCTCTCCATGCGGCGCACCGGCAGAATGGCTCCAGCCCCGGGGGGAAACACCCACGAAAAACGTTGCATTAAAAAATAAAATAAATGAAAAACCAAACAAAACAAAAAAAAAAAAAACGAAAGAAAAAAAAAGAGACTCAAATAAATCTATGAAATTGACCGGTTAGGAAACATTTTTTCCTCCGTTTCTTCTCCTCCAGGGGTGGCGGCTGTTGTCTCGCCATTCATCTTCTCCACAACACACAACACACACACAAGAGGCAGCAAGCAAACAAGAGCTTCCTTCTTCCCCCCCCTTACACACACAAAAATACTAAAGCTTCATGAAGGCTTCACACGCCTTCAGTACTTTTGGACAGCTTCGCAGTTCCACCAATTTTCGCGATAGCTCCGCATCGGCAGCGCCGGCACGCAACAAGTCACCTAAGTGTCCACCCTGTTTTTTTTTGCCCTTTGTGAGAACACCCTCTAAATCGCCATACTTTTTAAGAAGCTGTAGCGCACGCGTCTTTCCTATGCCCTTCACACCAGGAATGTTGTCCGAAGAATCACCAGCAAGAGATTTATAGTCACGGACTAGTTTCGGATGCACCCCGACACGCTCAATAACACCTTTTTCCGAGACCAAATGTTTTGTGCGTATATCGTAGTGGTAGCACTTATTTGCCTCGTCGATGAGTTGGTAAAGATCGTAGTCATGCGACATCACAACAGTGGGTATCTTAAGCTGCTGATTGTGCAGCGCTAAGGTGGCAATAATGTCATCCGCTTCTGCATCAACATCTTTAAGCTTTGCGTCCAAGTCGGGAAGAACGATAAGTGTGTTTTTGGGCTCCCCCGTGAATACTTTTATTGCGACCTTCTTAATGACGGACAGCTCCGCTGCGTGTTCACGCTCCGCGCGATTCTCCTTGTATGCTGGATAGAGCTCGCGCCGTCCACCATCCCCTTGATCAAAACAAACAATTATTTTGTTGTGCTTCGGAGTGTGGGCGTATTCCACCTGCGGGGAAAGGAGGTGCTGGGCAAGATGACTGGGGTCAAAGCTGTGCGCCGTGGCAATAATATGCCGGGCGTTTGTGATAGTAAACCGCTTAACGTCTACAGGGGTATGTTTACTTGTGTAGCTCCAGCGATGATACCAGCGATGCACTACGGCCGGGCCATCAACCAGCACTACAGCACGCTCGCGGACAGACATGAGACCCGGCGACAGCAACCACACCCACACCCACACTTACCCAAACTCCCTCTACGACAAAATAAAAGAAAAAAAAGAAGACAAAAAAAAAAAGAAATAAAGAAAGAAAATGTGCTCAAAGATGTATGACGTTAAACGCATTGCAAGAGCACCGCAATCTCGTATTCGTCTCTATCTGCCATCGGGTTCGCCCTTCCAAAAGACAGTCTACTTTTCGCTCCACAGAGAAAAAACGACAAATCCACTACACTTTTTAGTGGCGTGCCATCGACTCCAGGCCTACGGAAGAAGGCGGATAGAGTCCACGCGCGCAAAACTGCTTTAGACGATCCACCATCTCCTGTGAAAGGCCTGCTCGTTCCACAAGAAAAGTCGCAACCTGCAGCTGCCGTTCGCGCACACTTACATTGGCTTCTTGTGGCATAGAATAAAAAAAAGATGCGCATAACGGTGCCATCGACAGCATGATGTTTTTTCGCACCAATCCGTCACTAATAAAACACCACAAATTCTCTCGAGAAACATCATCGGCATCCCCGCAAAATTGCCACGCAGCATGCAAGAGCAAAGAACTAAAAAATGAGTCTGGGACATGTGGAGACTGTACGAAGGTGTCCATGAGGCCTAGGGCCCTGGGGCGAAGAGCGGCGACGTCCAAAGCGCGCACAATCTCGTCTTCTATGGGCACAACCGAATATATACCACGCCATCCAGCAGCGGTGGTGCTTGCGCCTCCAAGAAATTCGTAGATGGCGTCTCGAACACTATCGTTGCACTGCGCCAATGAAAGAGCAGCTTTCACTCCCCATAAAGACGCGTACCTTTCGGCATTCAGTTCATGATTTCGGAGTGCCGAGGCACATGCGCGACATACAAAACAAAACACAAACTCATCCTCATATTCCGTGAGTGCCCTCTCAATTTTTTCAAGCAGCGGCGACGGCATCTCCACGTAACGAGAAATGATACAGCTGATCATTAGATAGTTGGCCACGAGAAGGGGGTCGTGCTCAAAGGCGAATACAGTTGATGAGGTGATGAATGAAATCAAATCCGTGTAGCTGAGCAGGAACCGACACACCATTTCATTTTCTGCGGACTCAGGCTTGTTCTCATCAAACAATCGTAGAACCCGCTCGTTCTTTAAAAAGGCTGACAAAAACTCTCCTACAGGTGGCGCTAAATCAGATGGAAGCAAAGCCATCACACCAATCAAGGCCGGGCGCACACTTGCCGCCCTGGAGAGATCCTCGTGAGCCACGCCGTTCACAAGAAAACGGGTGACAATGTGAGATGTGTCCAACCGGAGAAAGTTCTCCGCGGCTGCTCGACCGGTACCCGTGTCGAAAAGCCGCTTCAGGCCATCGCCGAGAGCAGCGTAAACTTCAGGGCTCCCAACGGCCTCTGCCTCGCGAAGGAGCGTCTCCGCCGTCTCCTGTTCACCCTGACGCCATATGCGGAGGAGATTTTCGGGCGCCATAAACCGATCCAACTCCAGGCGCGCCTCCCTTGACCCCCGAAAATCCGAATCCGAGAGACCAAAAGCCAGATGGCGTAAGTGATCCATTTATGTTACCCCTATTTTTATTTTTCTTTCCCTCCTTTTTCGTTCTTTTTTCTCCCCTCACCTCCCTCGTTGATCCGTCTTGTTTTTAATCCCGTTCCTTTACTGCAAGAACCGACCGTGCAACCGGCAACCGACAACAGAAAAATTGAATCAACTCAACACACAAAGCATCCCTCGTGTGAGGAAACAACAAGGGACGTCATTACACGCCGCTCCTTTTCATTCTATGGATGGTGCAGCATGCGGCAAGAAAAAAAAACAAATTTTTTTTTTTAATTCCCCTGAAAAGAAAAGGGAACGGTGTACATAAAGGCCGTGCGAATTCCACGTGTGCCAGTTTTTACCTCAGCCCGAAAGGCAAATAATAAAAACGACAAAAAAATAACAAAAAAAAGTAACGGGAAAACTCAACAAACAAAATAATATATATATATATATAATACAAGTGACTACTCCGGAAATTTACTCAACCCGCTCTCGACGTCGACAGAATGTACGGTGTAAATAAGACCGCAGGCGCTGACAAGGACTACTGCAGTACCACTCCCGCTGACACTGTGGGCAGGGCCGGCAGAGTGTCAGCTTGAAACAGTAATCGCACATCTTTTCTGCCCCAACATTTTCGTCGTTCTCGCGCCCAGTCTTCCATTGACCGCTCTCTTGCGCCTCTGGTGGAGACGACAAGACCCCACCGGCCCTCCTTAACAGGCCAAACTTCAATTTCTCAATGTCCTCTTCGCACTTTTTTACTCGCATGAACAGCTCTCGTTGCTGCCCCAGACAACTCTGTAAAGAAGCCACAACGCCAATTGTGACGTCTCTCTCAGGCAGCAATGAGGAGGAACTGGTGCAACGACTGGACAAAGAAGTGGAAGACATGCACTTCTATCCCACCACCTTCCTGACGCTGAGCAAAAATATAAGGTGAAAAAAAAAAAAGAGCAAACCCACAAAAATTCTGGCAAAAAACACCACAGCATACTGCAGGCTTAGCAGTCAGAAGAATCGTTTATTTGTAACAATAAAATTAGTCACGCGTAAAAAAACCCGCCAAAGCTAAAATAATAATAATAATAAATATACTTACACTCATGTATACAATTGTGTATCTTTTTCTTCCTTTTTTTTTTTTCATTCATTTTTTTTTTCTTTGTTACGATAGACTTCCCGTTAGTGAAAAGGAGGGAAGACGGTACTACTGGAGCCAAATAAGGCTTTCGCTTCCTGATCGCATTGCGCACACCTCTGGAAAATTTCTCTTATTGCATTTCCTCAGCACAACATCGAAGCTCCAAGAAGGAATCCATGGCGAGACGCAGCTGTTCTTCCACGGCACAGCAGTAACGTGCAGCCCCTGCTAACTTTTCATCCTTGGCAACGATATCCTGACGCAGAATTTCACAGGCCGATGCCTGCTGCGCCAATTCTTCCCGCAGGACGCCATTCTCCTCCTCCAGGCAGTTAAGCTTCGTCTTTGTTGAATTCAACTCCTTCGCGGCACAACATAGTGACTCAGATAAAAAGTCTTTTCTAGCTCTCATGGTCGAAAGTTCCACATGCTGTCGAGCAATGGTCGTGGCCAGCATCGGCGACAGCACGACGGCCCCGCCTCTTTCATCTAATCGAGGCGGCTGTGACCACAGAGAAAAGGATAGGAGCTCCAAAAAACGGTCCATATAATTCACCATAAGCTCCATATGGACCGCCAGCGTTTCTTTAACCATTCGGAATATTGCGTCCGCTTCAAGTGAAACTATCAAATTTTGTGAGCGGGCTTCGTCAGCAGCCGTGGTGCTCTGATTCCTGCGAACATCAATCGCACGGATTTCTTTCATAGAATACTCCGCGTCAGTGGTGGGATCAGGTTCCCCAAAATGAGCGGAGATGGAAGCGATACCTTCTCTCGGCGCTGGTTCTTGCCCCACCGCGGCGTTCAATGTGAGGCTACTCGTGCACACCTCTTGCCCATCAACTTGAACGACTACCGCCGTTTTTCTTTGGAAAATTCCAAGCTCCTCTGAGACGATCTGCAGGAATTCAAGACGGCGCACTGTGTCTACATCGACGTTTAATAAAACAATGACGGAAGTGGCAGACTCCAAAAAAGGACTAAAAAACATTAAGGTGTTCCCCTCACGTGAAATGACCTCTACCGGCCACCAGAGAGAAGTTGTGACATCAAACAACCTGGCATAAATGGCGTCTCGTGTCACCAAAACCCCCTCCGGCAGCAACACTGACACGGAGGTAAAGTGCCCTTGGACGGCATCCACCCACCGAATCTCCGGATTCGTATAAGAAGAAAAACACCTCACCGTTTGAAAGAGATCAAACTCACTCAACAATTCACGGCTGGAACGCCACTCACCCTTTAGCGAGCAAATAGGGCTGTCTCCAGTAGTTCCCTCGTCTCCTCCGGCACTGCCGCTGGGCCTTACGATATAAAACAAAGCTTCATTCTCAAGAACAGAAACAGCCATTAGAAGTCCAAAAGTATCACCAAAGTCCGAGTTTTTTTTCGTAACCAATACGCAACTTTTTGGACTTATTTTTAAAAACGCAATCATCTCATTTAGAGAAACTGGAGTGCATGGTGTTTGTGTCCCCACATCGCCGCCACAACCGGCCGCAATAAAATCGCCAACCGACATAGTATGATCCATGTCCAAATCCAAAAGGACAGCAGCCAATGCTGCACACCACCACAATGGATCGGCAGCATCACTGTAGGCTCTGACGATATCTGTGACTGCGTCCAAGTGAATCAGCGCTTGTCGCCGCCATTGCCACCACCCTTGCACGTTAACGCCAACAAACACAAAATCGGCGGTGGGGATATCTAATTTAACATTCTCAACCCACTGTCCAATAAAATAAATCGCAAGTGCAAGGCATTCTGCTCCGTGGATAAAATGAACAGAAATGGGGGTTAAAAGCCCATACACATATTTCACTGGAAACGCCTTGGCATTTAAAAATGCGGATGTCTGACCCATCGCTTTGGCAACATATATCGAACGCGTAGGCAAATTAAAATCGTTTTTCCAAGAAGTCTGTGTCGTCCGCTCCCTGGGAGGGCCATGGGGACGCAGTGCATCCGTTTGCACGGCCACCTCCTCCAATTCCCTCACGGTTTGTGTCGTCCGCTCCCTGGGAGGGCCATGGGGACGCAGTGCATCCGTTTGCACGGCCACCTCCTCCAATTCCCTCACGGTTTGTGTCGTCCACTCCCTGGGAGGGCCATGGGGACGCAGTGCATCCGTTTGCACGGCCACCTCCTCCAATTCCTTCACGGTTTGTGTCGTCCACTCCCTGGGAGGGCCATGGGGACGCAGTGCATCCGTTTGCACAGCCACCTCCTCCAATTCCTTCACGGTTTGTGTCGTCCGCTCCCCGGGAGGGCCATGGGGACGCAGTGCATCCGTTTGCACGGCCACCTCCTCCAATTCCCTCACGGTTTGTGTCGTCCGCTCCCTGGGAGGGCCATGGGGACGCAATGCATCCGTTTGCACGGCCACCTCCTCCAATTCCCTCACGGTTTGTGTCGTCCACTCCCCGGGAGGGCCATGGGGACGCAATGCATCCGTTTGCACAGCCACCTCCTCCAATTCCCTCACGGTTTGTGTCGTCCACTCCCCGGGAGGGCCATGGGGACGCAGTGCATCCGTTTGCACGGCCACCTCCTCCAATTCCCTCACGGTTTGTGTCGTCCGCTCCCTGGGAGGGCCATGGGGACGCAATGCATCCGTTTGCACGGCCACCTCCTCCAATTCCTTCACGGTTTGTGTCGTCCGCTCCCCGGGAGGGCCATGGGGACGCAGTGCATCCGTTTGCACGGCCACCTCCTCCAATTCCCTCACGGTTTGTGTCGTCCGCTCCCTGGGAGGGCCATGGGGACGCAATGCATCCGTTTGCACGGCCACCTCCTCCAATTCCCTCACGGTTTGTGTCGTCCACTCCCCGGGAGGGCCATGGGGACGCAATGCATCCGTTTGCACGGCCACCTCCTCCAATTCCCTCACGGTTTGTGTCGTCCACTCCCCGGGAGGGCCATGGGGACGCAGTGCATCCGTTTGCACGGCCACCTCCTCCAATTCCCTCACGGTTTGTGTCGTCCGCTCCCTGGGAGGGCCATGGGGACGCAATGCATCCGTTTGCACGGCCACCTCCTCCAATTCCCTCACGGTTTGTGTCGTTCGCTCCCTGGGAGGGCCATGGGGACGCAATGCATCCGTTTGCACGGCCACCTCCTCCAATTCCTTCACGGTTTGTGTCGTCCACTCCCTGGGAGGGCCATGGGGACGCAATGCATCCGTTTGCACGGCCACCTCCTCCAATTCCCTCACTGTTTGTGTCGTCCGCTCCCTGGGAGGGCCATGGGGACGCAGTGCATCCGTTTGCACGGCCATTTCGCTTTTAAGCAATGTGTCGTTTAAGGAAGCCGTTAAATTCATTTCCTTCCCATCAAGAGTTCTCGTTTCACGCATCTGTGCCAACTCCTCCATCAAACGACTGCGCTCGGCCAGGAGTTGCCGCATCAGGTGCTCCATCTTTGTCCCCTTCTCAGAAAGATCCTTCACTGCAGCCTTGTGTACCCGCTCCATCTCAGACAACTCTTTAGTCAGTCGGTCATTCTCTCGCTGCAGATGGGCCATACGCTCGGTGTCATTCCTGTTGTGGAGTGCAGCAATTCCCTCCAGGACCCTTTCAACACGACTCGCAGTCCACGCCATGTTTCCCCCGTCTCTCATATAGCTTGACTCGGGCGGTGATGAGGAGACACAAGTCCGCCACACACCATCAAGAGCTAAATTGAAAAAAAAAAAAAAAGTGACTCGTTGAATGGAATCCACCGATGAGCAAAAAGGCGCAATTTTCACGCGACACAACGTGAAAGAAATTAACACCACATGTAAACTAGGAAAAAAAAAACTGTTGGCGCCTCAAAAAAGGAAAAAATATAAAACAAAACAAACCATCAAAAGGCAAAATAAAGGAAATAACTAAATAAATATACTGCTGAATTCCCCGTCTGAACGAAAGCTTAAATTTTAGCTTCCAGCATCTAGGCCAGAGACCACTGGTTCCTTTCATTCGTTGCCTCATGTCAAATCAACTTCGTCCTTTACAAAGTCCATGGATGATGAACATATAGACGAACGCAATCCAACAAAAACAACAAAAATATATTATACACGCGGCATATCACACAAGTAAACTTACAGAGGTATATTCACTAACGTGGAAATGCTCCATTTATGTAATTTCTTTAGGATCATCACGTTACTCTCGGTAACAACGGAGCCTGTATGAAGCCCAACCTCAACGTGATACCAAACGGATAAATCCCTTTTCGACAAATATCAAGGCACAACTGCCATTTTCTCCTTTTTTTTTTTTTCAGCGCGTTTGGTAATATCTGTTCTTTGAAGCCCCCGTAATAACGGGCAAAATGGAGGGTAATTAGAACGACTTTCGGCCCATAAACGCGATCACGTTTTGCGCCTCTTCACGTACTCTCACCAATTCCTTTAAACCCCTAGGTATTGTGCAGAATAGCGAGGCCAGCCGTGCAACCATAACCCATGTCTGCGTTGATGCCTGTGCAAAACTTTACTCATGTGAGCATCCTCCCTTTTTCTTCTTCCATGTCCTTAAAGTCAAATGCAGCAACCAAAAATAAAATAAAAAGGACACGTGTATATGCAAATTCAACATTCACCGTGAAGCAGCGGAATTTTTTTTTTTTTTTCTCCTTCGTTCAATCTTTTTACCCGCAACGCCTTGGTATGTACTCGCAGAGAAGGGAATCTTTACGGGAGCTTTATGTATGCATGTAAGTATCCATACACATGTATGCGTGTGAATGTGAATGTGAATTTGTGTGTGTGTTTGTGTGTTGGGTGACGATAACTAATGGAGCGACGAGTATCTTTATGTTCCATCAGCGCCGTATGATTCTCTTTCTCTGCCCAAAACAAAACCGAAGCAACAGTCCGGCCATGTTGCGTCTATCGTACGCTTCTGAAAAAATTCCGTATATGATATGCTCCACTTTAGATGCGGATATTGAAATGAAATAAATATATATATATATATATATAGAGATGTGCAGAGGGGGCACATAAATGAATGATCCCCATCATTATTATCCCATAAACGGAGAGAGGCAGAAATACCACATCTCTTCTCTCGTTTGTTTTATTTGGTCTTGCAGTAACACAATGGCTGTTTACGATGGGGACCAGAGGACAAAATCATAAATGAGGCGCATCCACCTCTTCTTCTCTTTGCCTCCATAATGTAACAAAACCGCGTCACGTGGACACACACACACACACACACACACACGAAAAAAATAAATAAATAAATAAAAATAAATAATAATAAATAAGAATAAAATAAATACAACAACAACAACAACAACAAAAAGTCAAGAAGTTCCTGTTTTTCTTTGAGCACTTCTTTCAGTCTCCGTACGAAAGAACAGTTCTTTCTTTTCTTCTTCCTGCCTTTCCTCACACACACACAGAAAGGCACACAGACGGTCAGAAAGGCACACACATTTATATATGTATAGATAAACAAATATATGCAGTGGCGACAATAATAAAAAAGAAGAAGAAAACAAAAAGAAAACGTAATCAAGCCCGCCATGTCACGGCGTCCCCATCTCGACAGTCGTTCATTGCCTCCGCTTTTCTCTTTTCTCTTTTTTTTTTTTTTTTAACTTCACACACACATCACACATCACACGATTCAACGTTGTTGTTAACACACGCCAAAAATAACAGCAAAAAAACTTTTTTTTTTAAGAGGAAAAAAAAACAAGAA